ATCATTGTGATCGATCATTCGTTGCGGTAGAAAGTTGCGGGTGATCATAGAAAGTCGTATGGTACACCTCATAACATACTTGAAAATATCAGTTGATAATGAAGACAATACTAACTTTGATGGGCATTTTTTGTTCCATTCAGTTTGCTCAAAGCATTCCACTCATCAGATGTTTTCCGTAAAATGTGATGCTTATTTGGAAAGGACTTGAAGAGGATGTCAATTACTTTCGAGTGATAAACATGTAAGAAAAGTGTACTGTCTGAGTTAAGCTCATGGTGCCTTTTTCCTCCACGAATTGGTTAATTGCTTGATCGATTTTGTATTTTGTTTTCGTTCTTATATTCGAATTTTTGTCTCATTTGTTGTGTGATATTGAACACGCATGAACGAATAAATAAATGTACAGAGTAATCAAAGTCCTCAGATCATTCAATTCTTCAGCGTACAATGTGAATTTTCCAAAAAATTTTGCTGAGAAGTAAAATGAGCAATCAAAAAAATGAAGAGCTTTCGCTCGTAAACAGTATAATTAAATGTTATTACAAAGTATGTGTAGTATTTGATAAATATTTGAATGTTATATTATATTATGATATTTTATATCATGTTCTACTATGATGAAAAGATCCCTCTTCTGCGAGGCGCATAATATATTAGTGTACAGGTGTAACTGTTTTTGACTGGAGACATACGAATGCAAATCAGCTTTTAATATTAATCAAAATTTTCGGCGTTTCACATTTACGGCACTACCGGCAAAAGCTGAACGTTATTGTAAAATATATTTAATCCTTCTATAATTGTAATAATGATAATATTATAATTATATTCTGTCATGTATCATACTATATTACTTGCCTTTATGAAATGTTATTTGATCATGCACATATACAAATATTCATTTTTGATTCTAAATGTCGGTATGAAAAGGAATGTGTTTGTTTGCTTGTTGCCTTTTTTTCGAGCAGAACGCAGAAAAATTTCGATGACTGAACACTAAATTTGAAGGTGACAGTCGCGATCATTTGAATGAAGATGGACCGAGAGATCTGGGGAAAATTTACTAGGAATTGAATTGCGTCATAAATCATAGATTCAACGTTGAATGTGGGGTCGTTCACGCTTCCTGTAAATTACTCCATCAATACTGTCCATTGCACCACAGTTTCCTTTACCTGAAAACCTACATATGAGATAGCACTTATTGTGTTATTAAGTGATTTACATTATCTTCAGGGGAAGACAAATTTTTCGATCAGAAGAAGAGCATTAGAAAGAGACAGTGAACCTGTGTGCTTTTTGCTAGTGGATGACTCGAGACCTGATGCCAGAGAGAACTTTCTACGTGGAATCATGCAACGTTTCACTGGACGTTTACGCAACTGCTCCTGAATACTTCAGTCATTCTGAGCGTGATGAATATTTGACCCAGAGTAGAACAAATTTCTTGATGTGAGGAAAAATCCCATCTGTGAAGAGACCTGAGGATGTCAGGAGAAAGACTAGGATAGATTTATGAATTGTGTCGATGACTGATAATGTTCTTATGTGTCTGCCATAAGGGGAATAGCAATTTAGTGGTTCAATCGAGCTGAGTGGTGCAAAATGTAAAAGTGTATGAACCACCACTGTCCTAAGAAGACACAAACTTCCGATGACAGATAGCGAAACAATTCAAACTTATCTTAATCCCAAACCACTGATCTATTGACTTAGTCCAAATCAATCGAAAAAACGATAGCTGCTAGAGTTTCGATACATTTTTCGATCCGAACTGAGTTCACTCTCGTTGAAACACACAATAGACGAAAGTGCATAAGGAACAGTCACCAACTTGTCGTTTGCGCCAAGGTGAAAGGATGCTTGCGATTTGTTCATTTCGACGTATTTGGTCTTGAATCATCCCTTAATCGCGTTAACTATTAGCTTACAGCAACATATAAGCAAGCAGTCATAGAAGACAGTAAAACTGCTTCATTGAGTATTCGGATGGATCAATAACATTTTGATTTGAAACGCAACAGTCATCATTCTTAGGTATTTCCGTTCAGTGGTTAATTTTTTCAGTGCAATCACGCATTCACTGATAAAGGCAATTCGCAGCGAACTGTTATCAGACAATTTAAAAAAATGTTTTCAGTCATTTTTCCAACCAGTCTAATGATTTCTCTAGCAAGAAGTTTATTTTCATTCTTAGTTCTAACTTTTGCTTTAATTCGTTTTCATTTGTTCAGAGACAATATGACGCTGAACACAATCGTCTGAATCGGTTCTGTCGACCGTTTCGAGCAAAAAAGTAATGGAACATGCAATGGGTAGGACAACGTGAAATTGATGCGGTCATTCAATCGATAAAATATGTTTCGTTAATGTTGTGTTCAAGTTTGGGTGAAATTTTACAAATAGCTCTTTTTTTTGGTCCTATAGGACAAAAGATCAATTTTAATTTCAAAATGAGACTTTTCCTGCAACAGGACTTTATGGAAGTGATAGTTAACATAAATGAGCAGAATTAACTGCGGTGGCGTTGAAGAGCATCTTCTTGTTGATGAAATGTAGAGATCTGTGGACTTTGAGGCACGAGCGATGCTGTACATGGTGGAGCTGATTGGAATTCGTCTCCGGTGATAACCTGCAATCGCAATTCATTTTGTTGACGACTCATAACAATACTGGAATTGCTAAAGCCTTCATGAGTTGCGAAACATATTCTATCCTCTAGCAGGATCAATCTACCGACAAATCAAGATTTCAGTTAGGATATATTACAAGCAATGATATATGGTACGAATACTGCTTCATTTGTCATTTTTACTGGATATATATCTGTAAGAGCATAAGCAATTCAGCAGCAAAATTGATCCTTCAATGTACTTGATCCTGAGATGAAGGGGTCAAGAAGAAGCAACGTAAAAATTGAAATAATCAGGCGAACCTCATTCTTGTAAATGAACGAAATGAACGGATCGTTGTCGTTGGACTGTTGAAAGGAATCTGAATTGTTTGATCACGGATATTCTCAATTGCTGAGTGAATTCGGCAATCGTTGAAGTAAATTTATCTGAATGAATTACTTCATAAAGTATTTTTTCTACTGACCTTCAAGTATTGATGATTGAGACGTTTGATTCTTTAGCGCTGTCACCGTTGGCGATTGATTGATGAAAGCTCCGAAAGAGTGCTCTGAAATGCGTTCGAATTTCGAGAAACCATCAAGAATGAAAGAAAAGAGTGCATCTTCGCATATTCCTAATGATATTATCCATATTCGTGTTATTACTACATCCTGAAAATATCATAGCAATTTGCAGAAATGGGTGAATTTATGTGGAGAACGTAACCAACCGAAATCATTGTCCTCTAGATTTAAGTTAGATGCTGAAGAGCTTTGCTGTGCAAATTGATTGCTGAATCGGTATGAAAACGATGAGGATGATGGTTGGCAGTCGAGACTCTCCGATGGCGTACGAGCTCCCTCTGGCGTGTAACACATTCCTCACAACGAAAGCTAAACTCGGAAATGGCACTTATCAGTTATTCTACTGTTGCACTGAACTTCAAGAAATTTCTGAAGGAACAGTTCCTTGAAAATCGCAGCTGATTCATTATCGAAACAATCCATCTGTATTGTTGATCGAAAGAAAGGAGAGTGATCATAAATTTCCCTCGATTTCGAATCATTGAGTGATGGATCGATCTGTATTTGGTTTTTCTGATGAAGTTATAGTTGAGTAAAAGAGAACTATTCCGTATCTTAGTACCATATGGCATTCAAGTACCCTAACAGAGGTTATTAAATAATGACGAAATCGGTTTGAAATGAACTGAAATTGAACAAAATGCAGCATTCCCTAGATGTGCAGCAAGATAATGTGCACTGGTAGAAGGGAGCAGTTTATAAGATCGTTTTTTTGGACCGTCTGCAGAACGATGATAAATTTTTATGCTTTGGCACACAGCATTTCAAACAACACGGTGATTGTGAATCACACTGTCAACGACAAAGTGATTCTGACGTAACCAGACAGGGAACGTAGAAAACGCAAATAAAGTAAAGCAAAGCAAAATAAAGCGAAGCAGTGGAAATAACGATTGAACGAAAACGATATGATGTGAACAGGGGCACAAATACGGCATCGTAATTAACAGAAACTGTCGCTGATCTCGAAACTCGATGTTATTCTTCCAGTGGCAGATGTTTTTATTGAAATAAGAGTAATACGGAGTTGAAGTTGGTTTGAAATCAGGTTCTTCGAACGGTTCTTAGGACTGTTTGTTGAGATTCGCATCTGCGTTAAGATGTTCTGGTGAGCGATCAGCGGAACTCCTCTGTGCGAGAGCAGTCGCGTTTAAGAAAAAGACTCCGTATCTTGGCTGCATATTCAAGTACGAGTCGCATTTAGCATTTGTAAACTAAAGCATAAATTGAGACATCATTAAATATAAGGGTCCAAGTAGTTTAAATTTTTAGTGCTACCTTAAAATATCAACAGTTTTACTGGAGTACTTCTTCTAGAGCCGTGGTCCTCACGCCCGACTGCTCCATTATCTCCTTCGATGGTCTGGCAGGCCGTCATTACCCCTCTCCTTCCGCCACATTAATTTACTGTTTCCACTCATAACGTCAGAACTAATTTCTCGATCCCCTCCATTGACCTTTGGCGCCCAAAAATCACCCAAAAACGTGTAAGATCCCTCTATGGGAAATCTCATCCTAGCTATTTCGCTACATCCGTTAACTGGCTAAATAGCTATTCCGCTATTTCGCTAATTTTCCCTAGTTAGCGATGGTACGCCATTGCTCATCCCTGACTAGAATATGCATGAAAATACTCATTTCTCTGTAATTTTTCACATGTTTACATCTCGTCTTTGATTATGCTGTCCTATAGGCGTGAACAGTGACCCACCCTGAAAAGTAAATATAATTAATGAGTGAATTGAAGAGAAGAGCAATTTCTTACCTTTAGATTTGTGTAATCATCTATCTGTTCACTTTTTTTTTCAGATGATTTTAATTGTTTATCTATTCTGCAATTACTTAAACACCAGCTTGCGAATGCCTCTTAGCTATCGCTCAATTTCTAAAGAAGAGCAAACTTATTACAAGTGGGCAATGTTCTTTCATTGCGTTGCAGACCGTCCGTCATTTTGAACTCTTCTTCAATTATTCTTTTAGTGGAATGAACTCGCAGTTCTCTTCAATGCAGAAGAGAACTTGCATATTGCATAGTTCTCTTTAGCAATGAAGAGAACTCGCACAGTTCTCTTCAATGCAAAACACAGCTTGCATAATTCTCCTAGCATTGAACAGAACTCGCACAGTTTTGCATTAAAGA